GCTTCCCGGGTAGGTAGGCGGATAGGTAAAGGAGATTGCTTCTTTCAGATTTCTCCCATTTATACTGATTGTTGTCTGTTGGCCAGGAATCTTCATCATCTCTATGTTCACCCGAAGGCCTGTCTTTGATGCTTATTCTGCCAACTTGTTCCAATGAAATCATAAAAATAATTCTAAGATCCAATGACGTATATTTACACATGATGGAGAACATCTCTTGAGAAATGGATATCATATTAAGACATCAGCATCAGTGGCTTGAATATGCACTATGGATGTTATTTAACAGGCGTCCATACCGTCCACTGCTTGTTAACTCTACTGTGAGACTGGGTGGAAAACGGTGTCTCCGTAAGATGAAGAATAGTTGTGTTGGATTACCGTTTGTTGAAGTGTTATGACTTTTCTATATGGCATCCGAGAGATAATTCGAATTAGTCGCTCACTAAGTGGTAATATATGTCGGAGAATCATAACCAATAACAAACATGTTGAAATTTCTTTCTCTCATCTCTTTCTGAGGGTAGCACAAAGTAATAAACACTCCTTTGAGTGCTACTGATAAGTATGCCTACTACCATTTCATAATGCCGAGAGAGAGATACCACTGAAAACCATCATAGTGTGCTAAACAACTGTTTCATCCTAGTTCGAGACTCATCGGTACTAAGCACCCACTGGGTTTCGGAACCTAGGACCTTCTGGTTACAAGGCAAATTTGTAAACCATCCAGCCACTGGGACCTGATTCAATGGTCAGTCCATGAATTTTAACTTCTATCAATTCGCGATTTTAGTGCGACTAGCACCAACCAATGTCATTGGCGGGAACTCCATCCTCACCACTCCCGACTAGATAGACCCCACTGGTCACGACTTCCCACCAGAACTCAATTTAGGTAACTTCCCTCTGGTAACAAATAGAATCCCTACAAACCGATTCTTGAAAAATATCCCCTTATTATTGTGTAGTGTGTCATTTGCTGCCAATATTCCACCAAGATTATGTTTTAAATATACAAAAACAATAATATTTTCAAGATTCACCCTTTCAATGAATCCCTCCTTGGAGTCAAACTTAATCTATCTCAAATACTTACACAATATACAGTACTATTCATGCAATATACACACTCAAAGCAACGACTAAACATTATTAACACTGATATTAAAAATGCTTTGAACTTGTGTACAATTGACAACAATCGGTAAAATAAAATAGCATTGTATTATTTCTGGAATTCATAGGTCATTAGATCAGGTTCCAGTGGCTTAATGGTCCATGAGCTCGCTAGCCTTGTAACCAAAAGATCCTGGGTCCCAGCCCCATTTGATAGGTACTGCTGAAACGGAGTCCCAGCCCAAGATGGAGCAGCTGTCCAGTATTCCCTGGTTTTCCAATGGTTCCCTGGCCAATGTCAGCTGTTGATGAAATCCTGTAACCAATCAAATCCCTACAAATCCCAAAATTTAACTACGATGACAGTTGGGTTATGACTAAGCAACTAATTAACCACCTAGTGAAATATGCCATATTACCTGGGATAAGATTATGTGGTGAAATGGGCAGGTGACAATCAGTAGAGTTTAGTACGGTTCTGGAAGTGTGTAAGCGGTTGCCTACACCATGAGAGCTGATTCCTTCTTGAAAAAGCTGTAATACAAAGTGCATTAGTCTCCGAGTGATCACAGAACCCAGGGAACAACTGCTTGAGATCGATAACACACATAAAATGTTTGAAGTGATTTTTAGAGGGTTGTATGGCTACGATGATTTTACCACCGACTATGGACAGCTGCACAGTGAACAGAGATTACCGCTTTTCGAACCACTCCTTCCCAGAACTGCGAAGCAGGACAATTGGGCCTACCAATCATCTGAGAGGAACACCTCACTGGTGTTATACAACAAGGAGAAAGAATAGGAGGTAACTGAAGTGTTCAAATCCTCAATGGAACGGAGTGAATACATCTCAGTGAACATCAGCCTTCTAAACACAGGACAACTGACCAACTAGTTCATACTAAATTTGATTATTCAACGCATGAACTACACGAATAAAACATATCTGTCAGTCCAAGTAGGTAGATGTCCTTTAGAATCCATCTACGAGATAACTTTCGAGAGTTAATACGTAGGAGTTTGATTTGCTTCAATTTCGACCACAGATTGATGCCATCCAATCATTGAAAAGCCTGGAGTACTGAATGACTATTTCGTCAAAGTTTTGGACTCTTCGTCGGTACGCGCCCATCAAAGTTGGAACCCAGGATATTCTGGTTAATAGACTACTTCATAGACTACCCACCCACACAGTCACCGGTACCCGATCCAACGAGTCGATAAATTCCAACTTCCATTAAATTCATGATCTTTTAGAGCGACAACCAGTCAATATCATCAGCGAGTGTTTTTCCTCACTCCAAGCAACTAAGTCCTGCAGGCAGTCACTAACTATCGAGAATCAGATTATTTTTCAAGAGTTCGTTTGTAGGGATTTAAGTTGTTTCATGGTTTGATGTCATGAAGGCCCTAGGTTCGACCCCCGGTAGGTGCGTACTACTATTGAAGAGTCCCATACTAGGACGAAACAGCTGTCAAACAGTACCCTGTAGTGGTTTTCAATGATCCACAAACTGACATCACTCCGTGATTCAACTAATTTTCAATAATTGTCAATTTGAATAAATATTATATCATGTTGAAACAAAGAGTGGAATTATAACCAATCAGAATTGACCTATCATCCATCCATCAATCAAAGGATAGTAATGTATATAAATGTTTGCGAAATTATATATATACTTCCACATACACACACACATTAAAACAAAAATTATAGCCAATAATAAGACGTTTGATTACGACATCATACTGAAATAATCTTTGTTTCATAATATAATCGATATGATAGGGTAGTGCATACATCTAGCTAGACAAAGAATTCATTTCTGCCTATATTAAAATTAGAAAATAATTATGGTAATTTATTTTTTGATTGGATGGAGGATTTCATCATGAGCTGACATCACTTAGCAACTGGCCCTATTCAGGTAGTTAAGCTGGGGTTCTCTAGTGGGAAGCCGCGACCAGTAGGGTACAGCAGGTTGAAGATGAGGCAGTAATTCATCGAAGAGGACATTGCGAAATGGTCGCGTTATGTCGTGAACTGGCAGAAGTTAGAATTCATGGGCTGGTCATTAGGTCGGGTCCCAGTGGCTTAATGGTCTACGAGCTCACCTGGTAACCAGAAGGTCCTGGATTCGGACCCCGATGGGTGCGTACTGCCGAAGTGTGTCAAACTAGGGCGTAGGAAACAGCTGTCCAATACTCCCAGGTTTTCCAGTGGTTCTCTAACTGATGTCAGCTCATGTTGAAATCCTCTATCGAATCAAATAAAATCTCTACAAAACCAATACTTGAACAAATTTGTCTACTTAATAACATTTCAGTAGTTGGATAATACTGACACACTCATATCAACCAGTGACAAGTAATCAAAACTGTAACAACAGTAAATGCGAAAAAAATGAATCCAAGTTAAAAAAAGATTCTGCAGGTGTACATCACAAGAGAAAGGACAGTAACATGAAAAACCACACGAGAGGGAGGGGGAGTAAGTGGATCCGGATGATTACAGAGAAGTGAATGCATATGCACCAGTGGTAAAGATTTACAGCCGCATCATCAATTTTCTCAAAGCCATTGGTTCTTACTATCCAGAGGACGACAACCAGTCAGGAAGTCAACACCTCCCTATTTGGCCGGCTAAAACTGTCAAGAATTTCATGCACTGATGCCAGATTTTGGTTTGACCACCTCTACCTCTTTTCCAACTTAATCCTATTTTGAGGAACGTTGCCCATCGAGGAAAGCGATAGCTAGTCAGTCATTTGTATAACAGGTGTCCTATCTATCTCAATCAGTGTATATTCACAACTTTATTCATAGACCTCCCTCCCTTACCTAGTCGTCTATGCATGACCTCAGTATTATTCATATTATTATACCAGTTAGAACGTTGAATAGAACGCAAACATAAATCATCAAAGGTAGGCAGCCTTTGTCATATCTTCCACATTCAATGTTGGTGGCTTATAGTCATAAAGGAGGAGCCATAATACACATCCTTTCACCGACAGTCAGCCGGATATCACATCTACGCCAAACATAGCGTAAATTGGCAAATGCCACACAAGCTTGTTTTTATTCGACCTGAGACGCTACTTTCCTAGTAAGTAGTGTGATCAACACTCTCAACCACTTCACTCCAAACTGGAAACTGATACAAACCTGTCTTGCAACATCACCTTACGTCAGATAGGAGAGAATCACAAACTAAGATTTCTCCTCAAAGTGCTCAAAAGACATCGCATTTTGTCAACGCCTACACCTAGAAGGAATATACCAACTGCTTGAGTTTACTGAAGTCTATCAGGGTCACACTACAATATAACAGGGTAAATATAACAATGGAATAATTAAATGAACTTTAAAGGAAATGTTCTGGAATATAGAGATTATTAAGAGTGAATAATATTAGGGACTAAGGTAAACGACTTTTAGGCGTATAATTAAGAATTACTATTCATTAATTCTAATGACCTCATCTAGGCCACTCGCTTTCCTATTTGGTGCAGATTAACAATTATCATAATTTCATAAAATGTTGTGTGCAACTACAAACTCGATAAATCGATAAATAGCCAATCTGTCAGTCAGAATATAAATGATACAAATATTGATTTCCTATATACATTTATTCAGGTAACCAACCAATCAGATTTCACCAAGTTGGTAGACGCCTAAATATTGGTAGTATAACGAACCAATCAGATTTCAGCATGCGAGTAACCGCCTACTAGTCGGCCCAATGTTGTAGTATATAAATTAGTCCATGACACACGATGGTTCCAATATTGAATATGTAAGTCTTCCTGAAATTTAACAGTTCGCGGTCAGAAAATTAACCAAAATAACCAACACATTTAAAAACTTACTTAACAACTGATTTTAAAAATTGTGTAGCAGCGCCTAGTGGAGAAGATGACAATGAACTAACTGATGGTGATGATGATGATTGCGGTGAAAAGTCGAATGTTGGACTTGAACGATTTGGACTATTACTCCCGACAGACGCACTGGAAAATGATTCTTTTTTCAATATACCACCAGTTGAAAATAGTCCAGTTGCTGCTGTTATACCACCACCGAATGGGGCTGTTGCTGGTGTTGTTGTCAATGGAGGTGGTGAACCATGTCGTGAAAGACATTCACTATTATTATTATTATTCGCTTCAGACAATGAAGATGATGAAGAACGTGAAGAAAGACTTTGCTGTTTTGAATAATTATTACTACTGCTTAAATTAAACCATGATTGAAAGGCTGAACTGTCATCCATATTCAGCAGACAAACATTGTGAACAGCTGCTGTATGATGTGGCTGAAATGATGCCTTTGGAAGTGAAGGCTGTCAAGGATAAACAAAAACAAAAAGAACAAAGCGAAAATGAAAGTCAATAATTAACAAGGTTAGAATTCACGGGTGGTGGTCATTGAATTCCACCGGCCCGAATAACCTGAAGGTGCAGACGGTCTAATCCATGACGGGGTGGTGAGTGTCCACTGTTGAAGAGTCTCGAGGCAGTACAAATCAGTTTGTAACGACAGAAGACAAAGGCTAGGCAACAGATTGTTTGTTGAAGAAATCAAGAGATATTTATAAATTTCCATGTACATTATAGTCGTTTTCTTGCTGAAGGTTATTCTGTATTGCTTGTGACCGTTTCTCAGAAAGTTAAGCCATGTATCTACGAATCTCATTTGCACACGTTAAGTCCGCTGTGATTGGTTGGTGAGTCCCACCACAAGGTAAAGCTTTGCTAATGTTTTTCGCATGACCACAATTCCGGAAGTAACATTGACGTAAATTGTTGTCTACAATTTCGGCTTTTTCGCAGCCAGCCCTCACCACAAGTTTACCAGTGTTCTCTACTTTTCAATGATCTCTACTGCATAATAACAGGCCCGTATATTAGTATCCGACATGACTTCACAACAACTTTGTGGTCACACCAAAAGCACTACCCAGAGTCAGCATACAATAGCTGCTACACAATGCGAAGAGTGATGAACAGAAAAGGAAAAATACACCAGAGGAAGAACAGTAACATGGAAAACCATAAAGACCTTATGATACATACAGGAGATTACAAAAAGTGAATGAAACTATATTGCTCTTCGTTATCACTATTCCTTTTGTCCCACATCCCTGTCTACTGTCTCTATTATGCATTTCTTCTACTTTCTTCTCTTACTATGTGTGCTCCATGGAGGGAGTGTGGCGACTTGAACTACTGCACATCTGTGCAAAGTTCTATGTTGAAAACAGACAGACAGACAGATGGTAGAATTCCTACATAAAATTCTGTCTAGACTGTTTGAAGTTGTAATCATTTGAGTGTTTTTCTCAGAACTAACGAGTTATTTTTCGCGTGTTTGTTTGTGTACGGATGTGATTTGCTTTGCAGGTTTGATCACGGATTGATATCAGTTAGAGAGATACCATTGAAAACCATCAGGGAGTGCTAGGAAGCTGTTTCTTCCTCATAGTTTTGGACTCATTAGAAGTACTCACCCACCTCCAGGGTTCGAACCAGGGATCTTCCGGCTACTAGGCAAGTTCGTATACCATTTAAGCCACTGGGACCCGACTCCTCGATAATAATAATAATAATAATCTGCTTTATTCCAAAACAGTACTTGTGATACAGAATGTAATTCTCAGCATTTTTACTACAGTATTGCATGGATTCTAACTTCTAATCAATTCATGATTTTATTAGGACGATCAATCGGTGTCATCGACGGGTATTTGTTCTCACTCCCAACAGGGGGGAACCCACTGATCACGACTTCTCCCTAGGACTCCAGTCAACTTCGTCTTCCAGCCAGTCAATGAAATCCACAACAGTTAGCTTAAGCCACGTAGGAAGATGTAGACTTCCTGGTTGGGGTCCTTAGGACGGCAAAAACGAATGGTTGGAAACAATCACTAGTAAGCAAGGCGTATTTGCAACCTTGAAGGAACTCATGTCCCTCCTTCTGAGATTCGAACCCACGTCACCCAGTGCTGCCTGCAGTCAAAAACGTGACCACTACTGAGCTATTCAGGCTCGCGATTGACCTCCTGTAGGACTGTATTGGATATATTTTTGATTGCACACTAGTCAGTAACTAGTGTAATGTGTCTAGTCCTATCTTCGGTGCAGACTAAATTCTATCAGTCAACGTGATGCGGGTTCGAATCTCAGAAAGAGGGCAGGACATGAGTTCCCTCAAGGTCGCAAATACGCCTGCCTTGCTGACGAGTGCCAACTAGTACGAAACCTAGGTCCAACCATCTAATGCCAATAATCCACGGTGCACCGTAACGGCCACATTGCAAGCTTGACTGATAGAATTCAGTCTGCATCGAAGATAGGACTAGACAGATTACACTAGTTACTGACTAGTGTGCAATCAAAAAACAAATGCCTATTTGCTGAACGGCAACATTAATGTATGATTAATGTGAAATAATAAATAATATAATAATACATAAATAATTAACTTCCTTAGTTTAACGTCTGGTTGGTTTTCTAGCGTCACTGTGATAACTAACATACAATCTTGTGTATTGGGGTTATCTGATTGGTTGTCACAATTTTTAGACGTTATATAAAACTTGTCTACTTGTATCTGTATCTGTATTTCTATCACATGATTGCGTAAGCATCATATGATGTTGATAATAGCTAGTGAATACCTCTCTCTATATATGCCTTACTGTTTATATATGACTTCTAGGGTGATTTTTTTTCTAGACTTCTGGACAACTTGAAAACGTGACGTGGCTTTTACATTGACGTGTCTGTCATGTGATAAGCATAAAATGAAAAATGTAGGTTACGACTGGAAAACAATCCGTTGGTGTTGTTGGTGTTGTGTTTTTTGTTTTGTTTTATTACTTCAGACAGTCTTTGTTGATACTACAGAGATGTAGTATAGATATATAGATATACACATATTACGTATTACGATGCATAAGACAGAGAAAAAAAGTTACACGGTGGTGAAAAGTTGTTTTTTATGTGAGAACGTTAAGTAGACTGCAATGTGATGTGTTTAGGGGGAATTTTCCAGCCTTCTTTTGACATTATTACTAATATTATTATTATTATTATTATTCATTTTATGACCTTATTTACTACTATTATCATTTTTGTTATTCTTTGTCTCGAATTTTGTGAACGTGTTTGTAATTTACAGACTTTCATATTAGATAAATTTTTTTCTTTAAATGTTACACTGGATAACGATTCACTGACTGACTGACTAACTGACTGGTTTCAACATAGAACTTTACACAGATACGCAGCAGTACAAGTCGCTACACTTCACTGAGCATACAAAACAAAAGAAGAAAGTAAAACGAGACTCACAAAAGAGATATGAGACAAAAAGAATAGTAATAACGAAGAACAATATACTTTTATTGGATATTATAAGCCACAAGGAGTGGATGCATCTGCACCGGCCAGTCATTGACAGCGATTTATCAGCCATATCACCGATTGTCTCCAGCCTTCATTGGTTTTTACCGTCCCGAGGACCCCGACCGGGAAGTCTACACCTTCCTACGTGACTGGCTTAAACTAACTGTTGTGGATTTCATTGACTTATGAAGCCATGTTTTCGTGTGACCACCACTAGCTTTCTCTTTTCCAACCTGACCCTATGTCAGTTAACATGGCCGGTCGGTCGAGGAAGGCGATGGCTAGACATGCATGCATGATAAATATCTTTACCATCTTAATCGTTTATTGATTTCCCCTCCTTACCTAGCACTCAACCGATGCCTAACCTAAATATTGCTCACCTTATTATAACACTTCACACGGGAGATAGAACGCAGGCACCTATGATCAAAGACAGCTAGCTAGCTTTTTCATGTCTTCCACTCTCAATGGCCAGGTCTAGCTCACAGCCATAAAAGAGGACGGAGCGGACTGATGAGCAGTACACACGCCCTTTGGTTGACAGGTGGCTAGATATCACGTCTACTCCAGGGACGGCGTAAACTGGCATATACGAAACGATCCTTCTGTATCCGTACTGAGATTTCGTCAGTGATCAACCGGATGGCGTTGGCTGATGCAACTTCCCAAATAAATGAAATGGTCAACACGCTCCACCAACCACTTCACTCAACTATGATGATAACAACTCTGTTACTACCCCTCTCTCATAAAAATACGTATATAGATGTATGCGATTGCACAGATAGACAGGAAAATGAATCCCCCGGGAGAAGACCTTCTTCGCTACAACACTTATTTTGTTTTATTCAATAATACCCGGATAGGGATTATTCGCACTCTCTGGACGTGTTTGTTGTTAGACACAGAAGGTAGGAGGCTAAAGTGTTGTCAGCTGTTTTCCCCTAATTTCTTTTCCTTCTGATTTTAAAACAATCGGATGGAATGGCTTACTGGTCCTATTCGCTGGCAGTACGACTTTATCTACAGATCCTCAACATCGTAAGAAACGACCTTAACTACGACTATAACTGCTTTCACACCAAACGTTATGCCTAACATTACTTCCAGCTAGTGCAGATGGTTGGTTGGGTCACACTGTGATACATCAGCTATGTCAAGGTAGCAGCGGCTATCAGTCAGCTGTAAGTAACAACCAGCCAGCACTTAATTATCAATAAACGTGAAAATTGAAAAATAAATCAATAACTCACCTCTATAGTAGTTACTGTCGACATCTTTGATTCAAATAAACCTGATTCTGTTGTTGATACAAGTGGTCCATTGTTAGTTTTTTGTAAAAATTGTAGTAAAGCGTTTAGAATAGAATTATCACCTTGTGATAGTTGATTTGTAGACTTTTCATGTGAAGATTGACGATAGTCATTTGTTGAATTAGTTGAAATATCATCAACTTCAATATCATCTAAAGTTAATTAGGAGAGAGAGAAAAAAACAGATATAAATAAGAATGAATACAAATCAGTAAGTGACATAGGTCAACCCTTAACTTAATCAGCTTTACTAATGAAGATTATATGCGCCGATGGCACAGCAATAGAATGCTCGCCAACTAGACCATTTAGCTACTGGGACCAGATCCAATAGTCCATGAATTCTAACTTTGGACTGTTGGATCGGGTCTCAGTGGCTGGATGGTCTATGAGCTCAGTAGCCTTGTAACCAGAAGGTCCTGGGTTCGAGCCATAGTGGTTGCGTACTACTGAAGAGTCCCAAACCAGGATGAAACAGCTGTCCAGTACTCCCAGGTTTTCCAATGGTTCTCTTCTAACCAATGTCAGCTCATGATGAAATCCCGTAACCAATCAAATCCCTACAAACCAACACTTGAACAGCTTCATTAGTTGTGCCTATTTAGATAATGTAGTTTAAACTATTACGTCACAAACTCACATCCGCCTGAATTTACTGATGCCATAAGATGTGGGATCTAAATATGTCAAATTTGTCTATGATCGATTAATATTACTGCTTAGATAGTTAGAGATAATGGGGTATGAAGTCCTGAACCTAGATTTCATACCGATTGATGCTCATCAGCGAGGTGTATCTGTGTCTTCAGTGAACGACGCCAGTTTGAGTTTCAAACGGGGATATCCCTTCTTATTTATTTTATTTTGATTTACAGCTTGATTCCACACCGTATTTTCAGTACAAGTGTGGAATTTTCAGCATGGATATCGGCAGCCCAAATTCAGGCCGACCATAGATATCAGGTGTGCGCCGGCAGGGAATCGAACCCCGGACCATGTGCATGGTCGGCGAGAGTCCTAACCACTGTGCCACCGACGCACAGATTGCTTTTTTCAGAAGAATGTCAATTGGACACGAAACCTAGAGTCTAGGGATTTCTAATGACTGACTGAAACCGCCTAACTTTAATTCCAGAGGTCCGCGAACACGACGAGTCTGCAGCCATTGGTTCTAAATGTCTCCAGAACATCAACCAGACAGTCTACACCTTCCCAAATGGCTGGTTCAAGCTTCATGTCAAAGACTTCGTGGAATGATGCACTGTTTAGATTTTGCCACCCTTAACTCTTTTCCAAACTTATCCTACGTGCTCGTCAAGGAAGGCGATTGTTTCACATGTGTAATACATGCCCTAGCCATCTCATTCAGCGTGGCAGCGCATAGATTAGCTAAACAATTACATATTTGAAACCTCAATCCTGAATGAACTAGGATCATTAGACATCATCTGTGCACTTAGATAAACACAATAACAAGATGTTATATAAGCTCTCGGAACGGAGGATACACGGTGACTCCTTGTATTCGAGTATCGTTGTCTCTATACAACTGCTTAAGTCTGATGGCATCATCGTGTGAGTAATTCTGAGATCCATCAGCGTATGTTTGGACACAGTAGAGACGACCATTCATTGAATATCGTCATCGTCTGGTAACACCAGCTTCAGTGGCTTGGACATGTACGACGGACGTCATCCCAGAGGTTTCCATATCGACGTGTCTATTCGCTAGCCACCTGGGACTGGATTGAACAAGCGAACAGGTGATCAGCCTATTATGAAATGGCGTTGTAGAATGTAGGATACTTGTATTACGTTACTATCAGATGGTACATCACGACTCCCTGGTTGGAATCCGAAACATATTTCCAATCGGTGGCTCGAAACGTTATCAGATATGACCAAGAATTGCAATCACCAATGGTAAAGATGCTACAATTTCCCTCGTTCTTCTCACTTTCTGCCCCTACTGTACCAAGTTCGTGTTTTTGAATAGAATCCATCAATTCCATGGCGAATACATATTCAGAGAAGTCTGAAGGTGCTTAGTTAACTAACCCAATCTCCAATGGTCACTATTATTATCAGTAATAATAATAATAGTATTAGTAGTATATTCAGGGGCATAACTTCTCTAACACTTATATACCTAAGAGTGGATCATAAGTGGAAGCAAAAACAATTGATCAATATTTAATTGTTCAATCAATTCTTGCGCTACACATACATAATTATAGTAGTTGTTATAATTATTAACAACCAATAATAATAACAGAACTAAATAATAGACAAAATTTAATCTTTAATTTTAATTCTCTTTCCTCTACTAACTAGCTAACTATCTAACGACATAAATAAAATACATTATGCAGAGGAAAGTAATGCCTGATTGCCCGCTGTCAGTTCGCGACTGTCTGCCTACCTGTCAGCCCACCACTTCATATCGATAGAAAAGAAAAAAAGAAGGCAAACATATGAGAACAAACGAGCATACTTAACTTCTATCAGTATGAGATTAGAAAAAAATAATAAAAGTAATCGATCAATGTGTATACACTTGTCGAAAGTCACTAGCTATTGTGATCACGCGCATGTTTACTCTGTGTATTGCTTGCCTCAGATTATTATCTATAGAGCAAACTATTACAATTTTCAAGTGTTGGTTTGTAGGGATTTGATTCGTTGCAGGATTTTCATCATGAGCTGACATTAGTTAGAGAACCATTGGAAAACCAGGGAGTACTGGACAGCTGTTTCCTACGTCCTAGTTTGGAACTCTTCAGCAGTACGCACCCACCAGGATTCGAACCCAGGATCTTCTGGTTACAAGGCGAGCTCGTATACCCTTAAGCCACTGGGACCCGATCCAATGGCCCATGAATTCTAACTTCTGCCAATTCACGACATAGCGCGACCCTCGCCTTGTAACCAGAAGGTCCTGGGTTCGAATCCCGGTGGGTGCGTACTGATGAAGAGCCCCAAACTAGGACGAAACAGCTGTCCAGTACTCCCAGGTTCTCCAATGGTTCTCTAACTAATGTCAGCTCATGATGAAAATCCTATTACGATTTTATTTGGTAGATGGTGACTATCAGTGGAATCCATCAGTATGTGCACTTCCTCCTCCTAGTCCGCTGGATGTACCTGCATTCCTCAGTGAGTTAGTAATGCTGTTCCCCACCCCCCCACCTGACTGAGGCTCGAACCCAGTACCTATAGTTTCAAATGCCAAAGCGTTATCCACTAGACCATTTGGGCCACAACAGCCATCCCTTTCTTGTGCAACAGGTATCAGTTATTATTTTATTCAAACTTCTGCCAATTCACGACATGGCGCGACCTCTAACCAATGTCATCGCTGGCGAGTATTTGTCCTCACACTCGACCTGGTCACGAATTCCCACTAGAATCCAGGTAACTACCTACCTGAATAGGGCCAGTCACTAGTGAGCATCTCATTTATATTGAAGTATTCGTTGGTAGGGATTTGATTGATTGGTTACAGGATTTCATCATGAGCTGACATCGGGAAGTCGCGACCAGCAGGTCGGGTGTGAGGACGAATACTCACCGAAGACATTGGCTAGTGGTCAAGCAATATCGTGAAATGGTAGAAGTTAGAATTCATGGGCTATCCACTGGATCGGATCCCACTGGCTTAGTGGTCTACGAGCTCACCTTGTAACCAGAAGGTCGTAGGTTTGAACCTCGGTGGGTGCGTATCACTGAAGAGTCCCAAACTAGGCTGACAAAACAGCTGTCCAGTACTCTCAGGTTTTCCAATAGTTCTCTAACCAATGTCAGCTCATGATGAAATCCTTTAACCAATCAATCAAATCCCTATAAACAAATACTTGAATATTATTTAATTCAATCTGGACTTTCCCGTTGACTGATGGGCTGGAAGTGCTCGGCCTCTGTTGACGCCTTGGCATTTGAAAATATGCGTATTGGGTTCAAGCCTCAGTGGGAACACTATCACTGACTCACTGGGTAATGCAAGTACGCTCAGTTGGCGAGTCTCAAATAAGACGAAATGCGTCTCATGATGGATTCCACTGCTAGTCACCATCTACCAAATTACTTCCAGTTAAATCCTCAGACATCGTTGAAGTATCTGCACAAGGAGCCGATATGTAAACAGAGACCGAGCACCTCAACCTAAACAACAAAAAGGTATGTCTAAATCGAATTAAATATTACTATTATTGTTGTTATGCATAAAGAGAAATAATTTCAGCCAAGATTATTCATGAGCTGACACTAGTCAGAGCACCATTGAGAAACCAGCAGGGAGTAGTGAACAGTCATTTCGGTGCTCGCTGGCTTCCCAATGGTTCTCTAGCTGATTCCGACCGATAGCTGCTACCTTGATGTGGTGGTCGGGCTTCCATATCTCAATGACCCAACAAGCTACACTGGTTGGAAGTAATGTTCCTGCAGGTCTTACCATGGCCAGGAAGATTGTTTAGGTTAGCGATTAGACTAAAAGCAGTCACCGGCATAGATATTTTTACCCTATTCTGGGGGTCTGTGGGCAAATTCGTACTGCTGGGGAATAGGGATGTAACAGCAGTAATATGTTTCCTCAGATGGCCAGCATGCCAACCAACTATGCTGCCTCTCCACTTAAGAGAGAGGGGGTTCGAAAAGCACGACCCCAAAAATTGTGCATCCCGACTTACCCTACGTTGGTCCGTAGCCGGCGGTAAGTTACTAATACGGAACCAAACCAAAAAGCCAGTTCAGACAAGCCATATGTGACTTGGCCTCAAGCAGTTGTTCCGTTGGCTCTACGGTCACGTAGCACTAATTCTCTTTCTGTTTCAGGTATCCTAAGATAAAAATCAACTTCCACGGTGTGGGTGGATGGGAAGTTACAACCGCCCCACACACTTCCAAAAGCACACGAAACCCTCCTGATCATCCTCCTCCTGTATCCCTGTCACCCTTATCATCTTGCAAACACTACACTAGATACTTGACACCACATATACGGAGACCCTTTTAAAGTAGATTTGACGAGCGAAGGCGATCAGAGAGCTGGGTGAAGCTGGGTTTGATAAAAACATTCTTCAACCTGATTCTCCCTCAAAAGCCCAGTGATAGAACACGTTTGACCAAACTGTCCAGACACTTCATTAAAACAGTT